TCTATCGTTAATTCTCCACGTTGTACTGCCCTCCCCCAACCTGTCCTTGATGTTGGTATAAAGACTACCCAACTTCACACGAGTATCGAGATATTTGGTAAACTTACTGGCCATAAAAACCGACCTGAATCATCCATTGTTTTGTTTTCTGTGCCACCAACCGTGATAATTACTAACGGTTGTCTCGAGTTACGTAATTGTTTTGCGACAGATAAACACATTTTTTTCGTGACTTCCAACAATAAAAACAAACTTATGCCGAATTTTAGTCAACAGTTCGTTATGTGCATAAATACCAGTGACTTACAGCAAATTCCAATGACACCAGTAACACGAAATGTCTTATGATATCAATCATAAAATTGTTTCCAGAAAACGTTGCTGTAATTTGCAATTTTTGTGTTACATCATTCAGAATTTTTAAGTCCAAGCACGTCTTTATTTATATGTCAAACTTTATTATGTTCTTCACTTTATTTATTTAATAAGACACGACGACATCAAATTATGACTGGATAAATAAGGATAATTTCTTTTCAAAAATGCAGAAATTGGAGAAAAAATCTGTAGAAAATCTAGAATGATAATTCTTGCGGTGACGACAAATAAGTTAAATAAACAAAATGCAAATCCACTGCTTGGTCTGGAGACGACTGAAGCGTGGTGTCACATCGCTGGTTTCTGGTTTCTACGCTTCAGAAATCGTCTATGATTCTATCATCAATGAAGACAATTGGAACCGCAAGCTGCTGTTTATAAGATACTTCTTCGACGAATTTGTACACCAACAATATAACTAAATCTAAAATAATCTAATCTGACTACTTTCTATTCCATCCAAAAGTTATTAATTAAAATATGAACCCTAGGTTATGGAGTGTAGAATCCGTGGCTGCCCAATGTGTTTCTGTCCAATTTATTTGGCATATTGCTAATCCTGTAAAAAACATGGAAAAACACGGAAAAAACGAAAATGAGGGAAGGTGAATACAAAAATCTTTATAAAATATGTAAGAAAATCAAAGACAAATTCTCGAAGCGAGGTTATCGAGGATGATACATTTCATATTGTAATAGTGATGAACGAGCTATGTTTGCAGGACGTAACGAGAAACAAACTGAATTAAATGTGCGTATAAGAAATATCAGTAACACGTGAGAATATATCACGACCGATTTAATAATCTTTGGAATTATCAGTTTTTTTCTCATGTAAAATTCGATGCTAATTATTAGTATAACTGGCGCATTCGTCATCACTTCCGCGGCTCTCATATTCAGAACGTAATATCAAATATGGCGATATCGATTATGCGCAATACATCGATCCTTTTGGAACCTCTGTTAGCATTATCATCGTGCTTTGATCAAGGGTATCGGTACATATCCTTTATTTAAGGATAGTTTGCCCAAGTCTACTTGTTTATCGATATTGTTTTCACATTACTTATTATTAGAGGTAATATCCACCGTTTGAAAAAATAAGTGAAATATTCGTCTAAATTTTCCCAGATACAATGAGATTATGAATTTATCCAAACAGCTATGTTTTAATATCATGTTCTTTCATTACGTTTTTCTTTCACACCAACCCGTTTAACTTATTTTTTTCACATTTGTGTACCTTGTTGTTTTCTTTCACCAGGAAACATGAAATATGTATTTCATGTTGAATTTCATAGCTGTATTAGCCATTAAGACGCACAAAGAAAGCATTTGTACATACAAACGAGAGGTCCGAGAAAGCAGAATCCTGTATAAGATAGACTATCTGTAACAAAGCCAGAGCGCTCACACTGTCACACCATCACAGACACGGCGAATTAATCATCTCAGTCATCAGATCGGGGACAAGATAGCTCTTGACCTTCGGGAGAAAGTCGCGCTATTGTGGAACTACTCTCTTGGAGCACGACCTTAGAAGGCATTGGATATGTTCACCGACCCCTATTCACGAATCTACTTTCTTTTTAAGGATCACAAGAATGCAGAAAAAGATTACCTTACGACCCCAATCTCTTCTTGGGTACCCTTATCCATACATCTAATATGTAAAGACAGGATTCCCTTTCTATAGATACGAATCAGTAGGCGTCCTGTTACCAAGATAGACTGAGGCGGGGTGGGGGAAGAGATGCTGCGGCCCCTTCAACCGTGTCTCCAGTCCTGTATGTAGATTTACGCATAACCATGCTCCAGCAATGTGAGGCATTTACTAAACAATGGGTAACAGATTGCTGTCTACTTACTAAGAACTTCATCGTAATCAAATCAATTTGAATATCCAAACTTCCTGTTGGAATATTTCATTCATCGACATTTCACTCAAAGTAGTATATGTAGATACTAGTAAATGCTCACGATGTTTCAAAACCTGAAGTTTTAAACTTTGCTAACTTGCTTTGTTCCGATTGATGACGTCCTCTGTAGCGCAGTAGAATGTATGCTATTATGGATGGTATTTTAAAACGTCAGCCTGCATTACTAGTTTTCACTTTTAATAAAATGGCATTTTCGTTCAAGCATTCCATGCATTTTAAACCAAACTCAAACGATGCCAAGAATACATAGACACACCAAACTTGTTACTTTACGACAATCTAAGTCACTGTATAACGTAGTTCTGTCGAACATTTGATGCAACAGTGTGCTGTACACTGCGTAACTATGACAACAGAATACCCCTATTTCCATCACTTATCGTGGGACTAAACATGGACCAGGACTGGTCAGTCCGTTTTTTTATGTCTCTTGTCAATTTCCTTGAGGGAAGAATAATATTTTCGCCAGGAGCACAGAGTTTAATCTTCAATAGGGAGCTGTTAGGTTTTACCAGAAAGGACACATCATACAAAGGTAAACAGTTAAAAGGCAGCTGACTTGGGTTTTACCAGAAAGGGCACAACCGAATTAAATAGTTAAGAGACAGCTGACTTTTTAAGTTTAACGTCCAAGGACACACATTTCTGAGTTAAATATTTATATAGACGCAGCTGACTGTTTGTTTTACAGAAATAGGTTTTCAAAAAACACATTCAACAAGTTTTCTTGGAAATTGCCTCAATACAGGACTGAAATGTATGTAAAATCTAACATAGTACTTCTAGACCGTGATCCCATATCCTGGTTCATAAAGTGGTGCTGCATACTTGAAATTTGTTATCATACAGCTGTCGACAACGGTCTACAATGCAGCAGTGCATTAGAAATATTTCCCTTGCCGATATCAATGAAATAGGAGCGTAGCGTAACATTTCAGAAAGTTTCCAATTTTGGCTTTTCTGTAACATGAAGCCTGCTTTACACATAATTTTCCAATATATAACAAAGCCCCACCCCACCCCCATTCCCGACCTGTTACAGCTAGAGTGTAACAGCTTGTGATGCCTTCCATTTTACTCCACTTTACTCTTTCAATGCTCTTACAAAAGTCAGGACAAAAATCAAAATACTGGCACAGAGAAAATCTGTGTTTTATTTGTAGATAAACAATCAGAAAGACTTATTGTACTATTTTAAAATTTATCATCCTATTCACGAAGAAGCTCCATCAAATTTGATATGACATGATGTGACATGGCTGTAGGAATGTGCAGGTCTCAACATTTCATCAACAGAATGCCAAGTCAATATCAGCAGGGACTGGGTCTAACCATAGGCAATCCCTATGATAAAATTGTGTTCCTGTTAAGCAATTGGGCGAGGACCAAGAACGGTACATCCAAGCTTCCAAACCCTGATGCAAATTCTTTATGCCTTACAAATACATAATCTAACCATAATGTGGAAGAAGATTCAGTCTAGGTCTGAAGAATCAGGAATGGTTCTCGGCATACTACCCTGGTAACCATGGTTACCTTGCAATTAGGTCAAGGTCATTCATATGAGGAAACGAATAGGCAAATGCAAGTGACATGATCATGTCTTCTGGAACGAAACGGACCCTTATTTTTTTCAACCATGAAGTTATCTTCACTTTAGTTACACAACTTTTAGAAATTTTGCAGAGCTGGTCTACAATTATCATAGCTCCAGGCCCTCTCCTCTGTCCAAAGCCTAAGATGGCTGCCATCATGCAGAACCCATCACTGGGGTCATAAAGATCTAGAAACTGGAGGGGATGTCAAGGGAAAGATGGTGACGAAGTGAGACTTTTTCAGCCATAGTCAAAATTTCTTCACATCAATGCTCAAATATGGTTTTGTAAAACAAAACATGAATTCATAAATTTCTTTTCATGACTCACACAAGGAATTTACTTGGAACTTGCTTGGAACAATTCAAATCAGATTTCTTTTTTTTTAAAGAAGATATGTCCCTAATTTTTGATGAGCATTCTAATTTTACCTGGAAATCTCTTTAATTTTTGATGAGCATTCTAAATTTACCTGAAAATCTCTTTAAGAATTTGAGTGATATCTTTGTACCTAAGTATCATCAAGATGTGAAGGATTTTCTTCAGTAAGTGGCATTTCTATTCAGTAATGATGGGAAGAGCTCATGTCCTTTGTTCTTTTTCTGCTGATTAGTCTGGAGGTCTGTTACTATTTTTGTCATGTCTTTTTTTAATCTTAGAAAGCGCTATCATAATTGCACCAGGATGTGTTTTCTTGTAGTATTTCATTTTATTGGTCTTCAAGCATTTTGATATATTGATATACTTGACTCTGGGTGGGTGTACACTGTTCTGCCTAGAGGAACTCTTTTTCTTGTAGATAATGTAGTCTGAAGTCTTTCATGTTTTATTAGCGACTTTGAGAGGAAGTCTAAGTCATTTTGTGAGGAAGCTTGATAGTGATTTATCCACTAATAGTATTGGCTCAAAGCTCACCACACTTTGTCTTTCATTTTTGAATTCCTTGAAAAAAAAACCTGTTCACAATCAGTAAAGGATGAAGGACATTGAAGCATGCCCAGATTCTTTTATTCAGATTGATAATACATTATCAAAGTGTTAAAACATCTCAAAAATCTAACTGACAAGAAATTGACAAGTCTCAGCTGATTTTGCAAATCAAATTTATCTTTCACTTAATTTTTTTCAATCTCTCAATAAAAAAAGGCATTCATCATTCAATCTGGCATACCAACCTGTACAGGACCCATAATGCTATTTATAGCTGAAACATCATAAAAAAATACAATATTGTCTATAAATTAAGATTCATTAAATAACACTTTATCACCTTCTGTAATGTGTTTTTGCATTAATTGTCAGGTGAACACCCCCATTTATCTTCATAAGTACTAATCATTCTACATTCTTTGGTGTTTGGAAATGAAGAGTCCATGTGAGTAACTATGGATGGTTGAAAAAACCAACACAGTACAGGTGTAAGGTTTCTATAATACAGTTAAATAAAACAAAGGGTTAACATTTACTTGTCAGGTACTTGTGTATAAGGACATAATATATAAATACATGTACTATACTGTTGGAGATGACAAACTTATTGATGTTAAGATGTATAGTATCATTGTCAAGTTTTTACAGACATCACTGTGAACTAGTGAGGTGACATTATAAAGAGTAAGTGTGTTATGAACAAGAAATTATTGTAAAAGTACATATAGATTCTGGTTCCTCCATTACACATATATCATTCATCTCACTAATCATTACCTGGCTGGGGTAATTTAAGTTTTTTTCTTCTAATTTTCATATAGGTTTTAGCTGTAGGCCCAGTATTGTACTTATTAAGAGGAGATTTGACACCATTATGGCCTTGCCGATGGGAATCTGGTGATATCCTTTTAGTAAATTACTCTTTTAATGACCACCATGTGCACAGGTACAGCAACTGTTCTGATTTCTTTTCCTCAATGGTTTGGGGGTGAAGTTCAATGGTTAAAAAAATAACACAAGTAATTTCAAATAAAAATTGATGAAAGAATCCCAGAGATGTATCTGGCACTTTTGTGTCCTGAGGAGTTACAGAAATCACACAGCAGGTAATTAAAGAGATGGAGGTATACCTAGGAAGGTAAACTATCACGGAGTGCAGTTTGATAACTTTGAGTGAAATCAATATTATTGTCAATAAACACAGCTATAAATCTCAAAGAGTTTTTCTTTAATTATTTTTTCTTCAGATGATTACAGTACATTAACAGATATGATAGCATATTTTTTTTCATTAGATGTGTCCAATATGTAATGTCATACAATATGAGAGATCAGGTGTTTGCATGGTGTAAAATGTAATACAACATGACATCAATAAGGTGTTTAAATTGTGTAAAATGTCACACAACATGACATCAATGAGGTGTTAACGCTGTGTAAAGTGTCACACAACATGACATAAATGAGATATTAACATTATGTAATACATGTATTGTCATATCACATGACAATCATCAGATGTCATACTACTGTCCTGCAGTATATAACAGGCATCAGTTGCTGTAGCACAATATGGAAAATCACAGAATTTCTTTGAATGTGAACTGTTCTTGACTGAAAGTCTAAGCCATTACGACACAAGCTGGATGTGAATGCCAATGAACTGACATTGGTATTTGCTCAGATTTCTAAATGTTTAAGACAGCAGTACCTCATGGGTGTAACTGGAGAATGTGTGACAACTAGATATTTCTGCACTATGATCATACCCTCCCACTGATACCAGTATCCATTTCAAAGTACCCATATTAGGATATGACTAGAATTCATGAAGAAATGTTGATATGTACAGGTGCTGTTAAATTACCTGTTGACAAAGATAACAGTTAAACCATAGCAATAGAGAGTTCTTCTTCTTCCTCCTCTTGTGAAATATTCATGGTTGGTTCCTCCAGTTCACTTTCAACCAGTCCCTCTACTTCATGAGCCTCAATGACTTGTGCCCCGTCTACAGTAATAGCCCCAACCCTTAGCTCTTCCATGTTGATTTCCCCCTCCCCAGGAATCTCTTCCTCGCCCTCCCTCGAGATTTCCTCTACGCCTTCAATGTAGTCTCCATCTAATTCTGCACCTGTGATCACCTGGGCCTGGGACACTGATAATTGGGACACATCCAGAGTACCTTGAATCTGTTCTTCAGTCACTTCTGTTAGAGTGATATTCTCCTCATCCTCCTCTGTACAAAAAAACAAAGGGAAATTCAAATTAAGAGAGATTAAAGAAACAAGGTAAAAACTACTGAAAAAAAAGGGAGAAGTGTTACAAGTGAGAATTCCATCCCAAATATCAGAAGTCATCTGTATGTATAATTGTAGAGCTATAACCTACAACACTGAACCACAAAGTTCTGATAGGGCACTGCATACATTTACCATCAACAGCACACCAAAGCTATTAGTCCCTCAAATTATATTATTTTAAACAATAAATAAACACAAACATGCATAGTTTGGTTCATCTCTTTTCTTGGTTTAATTCTTTATTCAACATTTGAAAAGCACCAATATTCTTTCCTTAAGAAATAATGTGGACATTCTGAGAGAGTGATAATATTATGCACAATGCGTTTTTAATTAAAAAAAAAAATCTTTAACGCTTTTAATCACAAGATTTACAATTATCTTCTTTTAAATAACAAAGCAACTCCAATGAACAAATTATAATGAAATTTGACATTTTATCAAGATATTATGTGATGAAGAAAGCCTTGTCTAATGGAGTCCATTGTCCTTGTCTAACAGACCAGAATATGTTGATCAGTCAATATAAAATACCTGTACATGGTTAATGTCAAAACCATAGGATGACAGAATTTAACTTCTGCATTAATATCAAATGTCTGAGCATTAAACAAGATTAAAATAGAAAACCTTTCTGTGTCACTATAAACGCTTCAAAATAACAGAACAAAATGAAGCAGAGTCTGGTTCTATCAGAAGAGGTGATAAAGATTAAAGTGATAGCTGGTTCCACACAAATGAGATCATGAAATATTGAACGTTTTATGACATTAACAAAAGAGAAAGCCCTTTCTTCTGAAATAGAACTCAAGATGGCCTTTAGTGAAAATGTTAACAATTTACTGAATAATTAATTATCTAAAACCTTCATGTTGCTATTGAAATTAGGCAAGTCATTTCCATCTAAGTGCCAGTTTGGAGAACAATACTTTTGATTCATAATGGATAGTTGCTAGATTTTATCAAACTCAAATCTGCATTTGGTTCCCTATTTGAGGGATATGCTTTGAGGTGTTTTTGTCTTGGTAGCAGGTTACTGCTATCCCCAGCACTCTCATACAGCTTTGCTACAGAAGTTTAGCACTCATAAACCACTGTCAGCTTTTGTTGGTGTGATTCTGGCATGACGTAGCCTATGAACTGTGACATTGCTATCATCCTGCAGCTGTATGTGACATGTGACCTTGAAAAGATTCCTTGTTGTGCAGATTTCCTAGAAAAATCCATTATGAATAATACATTGTAATTGTCAGTGAAATGGACCTGACTCTCACCCATATCGTAGAGTAGCTTTTCGGTTACTTCCTTCTCTGAAACTAGAGCCATGTACCCAAATAAATATACTAGATATTTCCTAGAAATATAACATCATTGAGATAATAATGTCAGGACGTTTGTTTTCTATGTTGTTCAGCTAAAGAACAAAATGAAATACTGTACTATAGTAAAGAAATGCAACAGGTTTATTTGTAAATCACTAAAAACACTATGCGACAATTTAAATCCTAATTGATATGCTCACTACACGATTTTTTTTTTTACTAGTTTTGGTCTACCCATATAACTAAATACAATCCACTCTTCTTGCAAATCTTCAATTCCATATGTGCATAAAGATACAAAAAAAGTCCACTTTAGTTTTAATGCATATGATTCTTCTTGAGAACAGATGTCCATTCTGATATGAATTAATCTGTATGTTTCATGAACCTGCCTATCAGGACATGGGTAAGGGGAGATAATCAATTCATACAGTTTAGAATCTTTCAAACACATGGGTTTCTAGCCATGTGTGATAATCATTTGGAGAATTGCTGTGGGAAATATTTTGATCTCTGATATATGTATTTATTTCTATTTGATTATACTAACTATCAGTTCCTTAAAAAGATATTTAATACTAATTCTGTTCATTCTATAATGGACATTTTATCACTGAGTAGGTAATTTAAATTTGCAACAATTGTATCTAATTTTCTCATCCCATAATTTTCACAAAATCTTAAAATCATTCACACCACTAAAAAAAGACATTACTGGTTACACTGATTAATTGGTTACAGCAAATACGAGTACCCATTTTTTCTGGAAATAAACTTCTTACATCTTCTTAAAATAATTCTAAATATTTTTTAATGAAATCTGATAAATTATAACTTTACGAAAAAATTTATATAAAATTTAGGAAATTTATCAAGAATAAAATTGGGACCAATTTCTAAAATTTGTGAGAGGGAGGTATGAAAACTGAATGACTTGATGTGAGCAGATGATAACGATGACTGTTACAAGATTATATACTGTATTAATATATTCACTGAAGGAGATAACCATCAGAGTCGACATAAACTCATGTCAGTTTTAAAGATTTCACAGGATACAAATTGTATGATTTCATACAGGATGTATAAGACCTTAATATTGAGAAAACCTTTTACAACATTATTAGCTTAATGTGAAATATCACACATATTTCACGAAATATCACACATATTTCATGAAATATCATTAATTTAATTCCAAATGATGTACAGTTTATTGTGCTCGAGTAAGCATGGATAGTTAGTGATTCTCCACTCTAACTGCCTATTTTCCCATTGTTGCTTGTCACTTTATGTTAAAGCAGGTTGTCTGAGGAAGATACAATTCACATCTAGATCTAGTGGCAACAGATTGTCAACTTGTTCAATAGTTACACCTAGATCTAGTGGCAACAGATTGTCAACTTGTTCAATAGTTACACCTAGATCTTGTGGCAACAGATTGTCAACTTGTTCAATAGTTACACCTAGATCTAGTGGTAATAGATTGTCAACTTGTTCAATAGTTACACCTAGATCTAGTGGCAACAGATTGTCAACTTGGTCAATAGCTACACTTAGATCTGGTGGTAATAGATTGTCAACTTGTTCAATAGCTACACTTAGATCTAGTGGCAACAGATTCTGAACTTGTTCAATAGCTACACTTAGATCTAGTGGCAACAGATTGTCAACTTGGTCAATAGCTACACTTAGATCTGGTGGTAATAGATTGTCAACTTGTTCAATAGCTACACTTAGATCTAGTGGCAACAGATTCTGAACTTGTTCAATAGTTACACCTAGATCTAGTGGCAACAGATTGTCTACTTTATCTAGTGGCAACCAATTGTCAACTTGTTCAATAGTTACATCTAGATCTAGTGGCAACATATTGTCTTCTTGATCTAGTGGCAACAGACTGTCAACTTGTTCAATAGTTACATCTAGATCTAGTGGCAACATATTGTCTTCTTGATCTAGTGGCAACAGATTGTCAACTTGTTCAATAGTTACATCTAGATCTAATGGCAACATATTGTCAACTTGTTCAATAGTTACACCTAGATCTGGTGGCAACAGGCTGTGAGCTTGATCAATAGTTACACCTATATCTAGTGGCAACAGACTTTCGACTTGTTCAATAATTACACCTAGATCTAGTGGCAACATATTGTCTTCTTGATCTAGTGGCAACAGACTGTCAACTTGTTCAATAGTTACATCTAAATCTAGTGGCAACATTTTGTCAACTTGTTCAATAGTTACACCTAGATCTGGTGGCAACAGGCTGTGAGCTTGATCAATATTACACCTATATTCAATAATTACACCTAGATCTAGTGGCAACAGATTGTCAACTTGTTCAATAGGTACACCTAGATCTGGTGGCAACAGACTTTCAACTTGTTCAATAATTACACCTAGATCTATAGGTGTTACCAGAAATTGTCATATAGTCAGGTTGTATTTGATAGAAGATGTCCATATTAGAGAGGTTCCAATGGCACAGAGCAAACATTGTTTATATATACCTGAATGTTTATAAACAAAAAGGATGAAATGTGATTCATTATAAAGATAACACAGTAAATGAATAAGATGGATCAAACCTCACACCAGTGTTAGGGAGGCTGTGTTATTACTAGGTATATACAGTGATGTTTGTATACCTGAGACCCAGAGATATGTGCCTGATCAGCAGGTAAAAACCACAGGTATCAGTGGTATGTAAAGTGTGGGAGGTGCTACGACCAGAGATATCATAACTCCACCTGCCAGTCACAGGGCACTTGGTAGATGAATTTATAACAAAAGGTATCCCTTTGAAGTGTGGTATGGTTCTACTTAGAGGCCCTTACCTGGTGTCAGATGTGAGTCACCGATGACCTTCAATCTCTTTATCCCCCATACAAGAATAGATGTTCTTCATTTTTATCAATGAACTTTTGGACAAAGCAAACATTATCATTAGACAAGGTAAAAGCTGGAAGGTCTAAAGTCATGTGGTTGTGTATAAAAGGGCCTAATAAACGTAGTGTTCCATCACATATCCTCTTAATACACACAGCATAAGGCTACTAAACGAATCACATCCACACAGAATAAACATTTATGAAATTCCCACAGTTCAGGAACAATATCTTAGGATGAGGAGTTGAAGGGTAATATCTCCGAGCTAAGGTAGTCAATATTTGAGTATCCCTGCTTGGATTCTATAATGACTTACAAAAATTAATTGACCTTGACCTATATCTTCAGGTCACTTTCAGTATGATAGTTAAAGGTATTCCAGGTCAAACATAATTAGTAATAAGTCACAATATAAAAATACTTCAGTAACAATGTCTATTATCAAAATACAAATATAGAAAGACTGTACAGCCATACTTGCCTTAAAAGGCACGGAATATTTGCCACAAATAGAATTACAAATGGCATCTGAAGTTGTCCTACATACGATTAACCTCAAATATAAAACACTGCATTAAGGTCTCCATTTCTTATTCAAAGGTCACAATCAAATCATTTTGAGAGCAAGTAGAAATTTATAGATCAGATTTTAAAAACATTTCAAGTGAAAAGTTTCAAGTAAACACAATGACATCCTGTGTGGCTTCAGAACCTGTTCTGTA